AAAGTCAAATATATCTGTTCAGCGAGATATGCTGGTAACCCACTCCAACGCGTTGAAATACATTATAGATAGTTATATATAGATATACGAAAACCATTTTGAAGCAGAAAGATATATACTTAGGAGACACTAGTTTTAAAACCAAGAATAGACTCGACAGATAGAGATAAGCACATTCAACAGTTATAATCAAGCATATAGAGATACTAGCATATATCCTATGGTCACAGATTCACTTCATCTCATTCATATCATCATCTCAATTCGTATCTCATCACACACAAGCACACTTTGGTGACGCCACAGGACCAATCGCATGCCCATACATGAGGGTCAGCGCATATAGCTCTGACACGGCCCCACAACACCCTGCATCGTATCGCAATACGAAGGGGTCGATCGCAACCGACCGATAAACCGCAACTCATCATAATGTTTGATTTCAACCAAACAATGGACCGCAGCCCAAGAGTGATCATCTGACCGCAGCCAGGAATATGAACCGCAACTCATGTAAAACGTTTGATCGCAACCAAACGGTGGACCGCAGCCCAAGAATGTAATTCTGACGGCAGCCAACTTCTGAACCGCAGCTCAGGAATAACCAATTTGATCGCAAACCAAACTGGGGTATCATGCACACATAACACATAGCAAGCACATGCAACCCATATTAACATATTGGGAAAGGGGAGAAAACGTATAATGAAACTTATGCGTGGTCATCCACATACTAGGAATAATCCTAAGGGGTTCATACTTCTTTCACGTAGGCCAACGGGATACCAATTCAACTAACATGCGATATATATAAGACTCATTTATCCTACGAATGGTACCCGAAACATCAAACTAGACTTTAGGCACGATAAACGGAGTCCGTTGGGACACCACGAGGGTCGGGGAAACATCGAACGGGGAAGCCGGAGTCCCGAAGTGGGCAATTTCCAGCGGGTAGCCGGTGCGTGGTGGACCACCCGCCGGCGTTAGGTCTCCGGGCAGCGGGTAGGTGGTGGGTCCCCCTACCCCCACCTACCCCCCACTGACTCTTCATCAAAATAAACGTCCCGGAATTCGTTGTGGAACCCGAAACCATGCTTAGACACTTTTAAACGCAATTGATGACACCACGTATACAATTAACGGATCAAAAGCAAGAATCATATAGCACATATCCTATCATGACTTCTAAACATAATCAACACCCGAACATGCGAAATCCCACCCAATTATTATATCAAAATAGCACAATACGAAATTCCCAATTTTAACCTAGGGCTCTAATCATATTCAAATCAATAAAATCATAGTTCATCTTTTAATTGCCAAAACATCAAGATTCATCAAGAACATCACATAATCATCAAGAACCTCTTATCATCATCAAGATCATCAAGATCACACATAAAATCATCTCACAATCATCAAGAACATATCATCAATATCATAAACGATTCATCAAGACACAAGTATAGAGAGGAGGCCAAAGAAGATAATTATAGCAAGGAAAATAGGTTTTGTTGAGACATGGGTTACCTCTTAGCCTTAATTAATCTCCTTGACTATGAATGGTCTTTCTTTAAGATTCCTTCTTTCTTGATTTCTCCTAGGGGATTCTTGGAACTTCTTGTGTGGTGAGAGATTATTGTGGTGTGGGTTCTAGGTGCCTCCTATGCCCCCTATTTATATACCTAAGAGTCCCTAATCAGGGTTAGTTCTATTCCTTCTAGAACTAGGGGATTGGGTTTAGGGATAAGGGCCCATGGACTATGGTGGGTCTTTTCTTAATTAATTATTGGAATTTAGTCCTTTCTTTTGGGTAATTGATTAAATGATTAATTGGTTTTAGGGGCCGTAACACGGGGTGTTATATATTTTCATATGAAATTCTCCAAATAAGTAGTACAAAGAGTCTAGACTACACACAAAAAGTTTCAAGCCAATCCAAGGCATAGAAGTATTTTTTCCCGAAATATTTCCCAAAACAGAAACCTCAACTTTACAAAATTTTTCTGGAAAAACCGAAACATATTTTTAACCAAAACTTTTAACAAACATCAAATATAACAAGTCTAGGTTCTCCATAAAAAATTTCAAGCAAAAAGAAGTTTAGGAAACAATTTTCACGAATTTTTCTTTCCAGCTGCGCCAGTCAGAATTTTCTCAGGCAATGATCAAGTTGAGTAAAATTTTTCCTTTTTAATCACCACAAAATCACCATATCACATATGCAGGGTTTTCAAAACATCTAAACACATATATCTATTCGCATAATATAATCAAATAACTTTTCACGTTAAATATCACATATTCATTAAAATCATGAATCACATAACCACATAGGAAAATTGATTTTTCTTTGGGGTAAATACATTTTGAGTAGACATAAATCTTACCTGGATTCCAACATTAACATTAACACTTGAATCCCTACGGTGAACAAAGGAGAGAATTTGATGATGATAGAGGAACAAGACCAATCATGATTGAATTGATGACAAAGAGGAATAAGTTTTTGTTTTTTGTTTTTCCTTTCTATTCGGCGGTATTGTGTTAGCAAGAGGAGAGGATTTAATGAATCAGCTACTGATGAGGATGGGAACAATTAGACTACTACTTAAATACTTAACTAATAACTTGTATTATAAATAATAATTCTAGTTGTAGGGAACTAAAATACTTAAAAGCTTAATATAATATTAATATACATATTAGCCTACTAGTACTTAACATGTAGGCATACGTAACACATATATAAATAAATAATTATTAGCTATAATACACAGTTTAAAAATAAAAGAGTAGCAGTAGTAGACTAGTTTAAATAGTTTTGGGTCACATAAAATAATACAATTACAGACCGTATAGTAAAAATGTTTTATTTAACATAATATCTATTTTATAAAATTTTATTTAAAATAATAATATTTATAACAAAATACTCAAATAATCAGGGTATCACAATCTACCCTCCTTAAAGATGCTTCGTCCCTGAAGCATAACCACTGGAAAATACCGGGTATTACAAAGACCATACCTCATAAAATTGCATTTAAAAAAATTATATATAATTGCCTAAAATTTGTGGAGATCAACTGAAAGCAAATTTCACCTGTGTCCCTGCCACACAGTACACCCCGAACGTGGAAATTCTGTCCATACCAATCCTAGAGAGTCACGTATAATATCAAAGCTGCCAAATCAGAAACCAAATTAAATTGCATAATCATTGATAAACACACTAGACTGCAAAACCCGTGCATATGACTCATTCTAAAACGTATTTCAAATGAACATTCAATATATTCAGCAGCATGATGAAATCTCCAAAAGTTTGTTGCTAAGAGTAAAAACACCAATCTATTTTTCTATTTTTCTTAACAACGCAGTACCCACTAAATACACAAATATAGATGATTTTCCATACAATGTGTATTCTTCCTCGCCAACAGATGTGTTGCCTATAGACGTATTCACATTATTAACAATGCTTACTTGTGTGAAATCAACAGAGCAAAATATGAATGGAAAACTAAAAGGTGCTTCTTCTAATCTGGATATGAGTGCTTCTCCACACTACAACAGAAAAAGTATTTTGCAGTTACGTTTCAGGTTAGCTTACCACTTCAGGGATAGTTGCAATTTTCTCCACAATGGGTTTCAATAGCTCAGGTCTGTACGAAGAGGTCACAAAATTAACCATAACCTCAAGAAGACCAGTTTTGCAATTCTTGAAACCGAAATTATAGATGTTTTGTCAAAATGAGATCTGTGACTCTAACTTTGACCTCCAAATATCAAAAATTTAAAATTACACATATTTTCCTAGACAGCTTAACAAAATGGCTAAAATGGTTGAAGCTTCATGCTTTTTTGTCTCTAAAACAGATATTAGTAGACTTATCCTTTGGGTCCTTACATATTCCCATTCCCAAATAAAGGAATTGACCATTTTATATTAACATTAAAATGAGAGAATTAAATGTATGAACCCAAAACAATTTTAGGTTCACTGTCACAGCAACTGGAAAAATGAATAATAAGATATTAACACAAGTACCTGCCGCTTCTCAGCATTAGATGTTTCAGATAGCCAGAATGCGAGTGGACATCATAAGGAGAAAGGCCAAACTCCGGATCCCTCCAATATTCTTGCACAGTTGCAAGAACCTAAATAAAAAATAATCCTCAAAGTTTATTTCATTTTCAATAGCACACTGAATGGAGCAAAAGAGTTTATAAGATTTAGAGAAGCAGAAACATACAAAGGCTTTGTCTGTATAGCCTATGTGGAAATTGAATTGGATCATATCACCAACCTAAAGTAAAAATGAATATATATATATATATATATATATATATATATATATATATAAGAGGACTGTTAGGCTTGTCCGGGCTTCTTTAGTTCTAATTTGATATGATCTCTGAACCACTGGTCAGCGGGAAACGCGCGCAGGATGAGCGTTTATTATCTTCAATTCAAAGTCGACTACATGAATTTCCATTAGTGCCCAGGTTCAATCTGTGTGGCAGACCACAGTAACTACAATGCATCTTAATTGTGAGCCGCCAGATTGTGCACATCAATGCACCACAATAGTGCACACATTCACACATTAACGGTAGTGTGCACCAGAAAATTAGCATATATATATATATATATATATATATATATATATATATATATATATATAAAGGATGAGATGCCTCAAAATTCAATTCTACATATAGGCAATAAGTAATGCTGCAACACATTGATTTAGCTTTGTGTAGTAGATTGATATCAGTCTTGACATCACAAAAGATATGTCTTCCAATATGGAATTACTTGTATACAGAGCTATATGTTTTCCAAGTGTTACTCCTTCTCTCCCTTTATCTTATTGTTATTGTTATAGACTTATATGGAGTAACTTCTTTTCAAAGAATGGACTTCCAAACTTCTAAGGAGACATAAAATCAACAGCCGATAGATTTATCCTCTACCACCCAAAAATACAGACCTTCAGTATAAATATTGTTCGTTTTCATATTAATTTTCTTGAACTAAAGCTTGTCTAAGAAAGTGTCAGTTGTTGGCTATAACTAACCACAGAAGGATAATACACTAGGAAATCCCACAATAGAAAATTCTCTAAAAGGAATAATGGAGTATTGGAGTATTGTCTTCAAAGTTGAATCCAAAACAACAATGTGATACAAAATTGAAAAATAAAGAAAAAAGTATTGCAATAATGCAAAAATCTCACATTTCTAAAAATAGCACTCCATATGATAAAAAAAAAAAAATTTAAATAATTACAGAAGAGAAAAATGGTATGCATTTGCATTTATCTACATACAAGAAAAACTTGTTTGCATCCATTGGCCAATGGAACAAGTGTTGATGGTTCCACCTGTTGCAACAAATATCAAAGGATATTAATTAATAGAAACTATAAGCAAGAGCTAACAATATCATAAAGCGATAAAGGTTGTAGTACTTACAGCCTGAGCAGCTTCATCTATTATGACAACATCAAAATCATGATTCAATTTACTAAAGAGAGGTGAACCGCTGAAGCTAAGAGTAGAAAATACCTGTAAATAGAACATTAATCACTAGCTGATATTGGTTTCAGATTTAATAGTGGGCCAAAGATAAATACAATAACAGCTTCCTCCAAAAAAGAAGCACGAATATTGTCTTTATCCTTTCCTGTCCCCCTTGCTTCTGTTTATCACTAGTAGTACATTATTGCAATATAGCATATAAAGCATATGAATAAGAGGATTTCTACAGTTGCAAGGTTGAAGTACATTCATGACCAAATCAAGTTCCTGATGCAAGACCTTAGAGCTAGTGCAAGTGTACTTTTAAATTCACATCATTTAAATTATCAACAAAGTTCAAGACTTGACCACAATCTCTACTGTTGGATGGATCCACCCTGTCTGTATAGCCTAAGTGGAAAACCCAAAGCCACTTTCAGTACCACATAAATTTTCTTGTAGAAAAACTGAAAATCGTGAAAGAGCTTCATAGTCGATTACCTTAACACCGTTGAAATCGCTTCCACTGCACCAGCAGCCCCCAGGAGGTTGCCAATCATACATTTTGTAGAATTCATTTTAAGCTGACAAAAGAGAAAAAGTTGAGAGAAATCAAATGAAGAACTGCAGGATAACCATTCTACTCCAGAGAGCTAAGGGCTTCAGAGATTACCTTGGGATTCTGTCTGAAACAATGGATTAGAGCTTCATATTCTCTCAGATCACCATCTAGGGTTGAAGAGGCATGAGCATTGATATAATTGACATCTTCTCTGCCCACCCGGATTGAGCTAAGGCCTCCTCGATGCACAGAAAAGTACCAGCTCCTGATTTAAAAGGCAAAAGGAATAGCAATCATTACCACGCTTTCTTTATCAGCGGTTTAGCAATAGTTCAATGTAGACAAATAATCAAGCAGTTAGAAAGTGTGACAATATTTTTAAATTGAAGTTTTTAACAAAACATAAGCTTACCATCTGGATGTGGCTCGCCCACATTTGTAAGCATCACAAGTGAAGCTTCCACCTAGTATCTCTGCATATATTTTTGCCTTTCTTTTCTATCACATTAATTAGAATATCAGATAAAAAAGAAAGCAGCCAAACCCATAATCAATAGATCGCACTTGGAAACAAAATTAAAAGTTCTCTATTCCCAATCCTAATACCCTTCATCAAACACAGTTCAACTCCCTAATACCCCACCACCCAAACCCTAACCCTACCCCAAAGTCTGGGAAATTTAACAAATAAATTCAAGTAATTAGAAATTAAAAAATTTAAAACCAAATTAAAACAAAAAAAACAAAAAAAAAAAAAACTTACCAGCGGGAAGGCATGCGGCGGTGTCGGAGATGCGCGGTGGTTGTGGCAGTGCGGTGGGTGGCTATGGCTGTGCGGGTGAACCTTGGAGGCGTCGAACCGAAGGCTTGGGCGCTGGGCGCTGGGCGCTGGGAGGTGTGGCGATGGCTGTGGCGCTGGGCGGTGTCGCTGTGCGCGGTGGTGGCGAAGTCCGGTGCCGAGGGGAGCAGTGGCGACGTGTCACGGTGAAGGCTTGGGCGATGGCGGAGGCGAGGAAGACTTACTTCTCTGGAGATTTTCTTTTATTTTTCTGGAGAAGACATAGACTATTAGATAATAGCCGACGTCGTCTTAGGGTTAAATGAATTTAAAAAAATAAATAAAATAACTTACGAAGTCGGCTATTTCAATAGCCGACGTCGTATTGTATTTATTTTTTTATTTTTTTTATTTGTAACATATAACGTCGGCTATTAACAAATAGCCGATGTTATATCATTTTTAAAAAATTAGAAAATGTTTTTAACATCGGCTATATATATATATATAGCCGACGTTAAAAGCCCAATGTTAAAAGTGAATTTTATAGTAGTGCCAATATCTCTTACCGTCTACGGAACCAATCTCGTGGTTCAATTCTGTGGAATCAGGTATCGAACTATTAGTGTGCACACCCCCTAATCAGGATTCCAAGCCTGGCAGGAAGTTTCCAACCTCGTAACGTGGGAATAAGCTGGCACGCCGCGTTACATATACTGGGACCGCAATGTCCATAAATATCTCCCGAGAGGACATAGTCCAAACGGTATCCTCCAAAACCTCACCGATATAGGTAATATATATATATATAAATATATCTCTCATGCATGCAACAATTCTACTACTTCTCAATGCATCAAAGAATGATATACCACATGATTATGATTTTTGAAAATATTACTTGGGCTCACGTTGCCCCTTATGCATTTTGAAAGATGACATGTGTGAAATGCCAAAATGCGCTATACATGCTCCTAAATCATGTATAAGGTACCATGAAATATTTAAAAACATAATATCATGCTCGGTTTGTAACATAGCAAATTCTATACATTCTAGCAACAACATATGCTTCATTTCTCATTGATCAAATATCACAATCTAATCATGCTTTCATAATAAATCATATTCTCGAATGATCATGCTTCTTTACTCAACACAAAATTATCATCAGATCACATAATCAAATATTTCTCATCCACAGTAACTTAGCAATTATATACTCTGTGTAGCAATTCTTCACAAAATCCTTCATAACATACTCGTTTTTAATCCAAATTCAACGAAATCAAAGCCAAAATGTGTGTCAAGACGGTCCCGAAGAGCCGAGCCACAAGGGCCCGTAACACTAGGTCCGAAACGACACGTAGCTGAGCCACAAGGGCCCGACCACTGCACAGATTCTTCTCAGAATCAAAGTCAGGGGCTTGGGGCGGGACTCCTCATGGTCCGCCCCTCACACACCGTTACTTCACCGGGGATAGGCAACAGCCCTCCTCTAGGGTCATGCCCTAGTCCCGTGCCACTACGGCTCTAGCCTTCCTGATGGGCCGCGGCTAGGGCCGTCCATCTGATCTGGTGCACACTGTGTTGTGCACCAGATGGTTTTTCATCTGCAAAAACTAATCCAAACAAGTCCAAAACAATCTCAACAACTCACAAACAAATATTAAATCACTTCTAAGCATGAACACATCAAAAATTCATAGTTTCTACTCATTTCTACTCAAAACTAAGGCTTCACAAAGCCAATTTTAAAGAGGAATCCATGGGGTTATACCTCTTGTAGTCTGATGGGTGTCGAATCCAACAAATTATAAATTACTTACTCTTAGGAACTGCAATAGTGATGAGTAAGGTCGTACCCTCAGAGATTGGTTAGACTTATTTTAACAAAAGACTTAAACAAAAATGGGACGAGAATTGAAACTTAATTAGCAAAAATAAGTTGACAAATAATATCAAATCTAAAATAATAATAATAATCAATAGCAACTAGTATCCAACTCAAGACATAATATCAATTTAATTCTAACAAGACAGATCATTGATTTCAAGATAAAATTACTCTACTCTTACCAAATTGGTTATGGTTATTAACAAGCTCTAACAACCTATCTTTCCTTACTTTGTCGGTAATCAAAACAGGCTCTTTGATTACTTCCCTAGTTAATAAACAACCCTAAACAAGCTCTTAGGAATTAATTTACTAACAGCATTAAAAGAATTAGAAAGACTACCAACTCTAGCCAACAAACTCGCAAGCACGATTCATTTAAGCTAGATTATACATCTCCATAACTTAGATTGAAAATCTATTTTATAATCAACTATGTTATTTTACCACTAAGGTTTAGAATACTTAAACAATTACGGATTCAAGCATTCTAAATAGCAATTTACTGGAATGAAAATTGAACAACGGATCCTTTTGTACAATTAATCAAAGCAGTAATAACAAGATAATAGAAGACATATAAATAATAAGAAGTAAAGATTAATTAAGCTAAATAAATCTCACTGGACTTGAAGAATCAAATATCAATAATCTCTTGAATTGGAAAATTCGAACTCAGTAGTACATTGCAAAAGTGTTTACAGAATAAAATAAAATTATTCTAAAAACTGACTTCCTTCTACTGAAAAATCCAGCCCTATTTATACTAGTTCAGGATCCCAAATAACAGTCCTAATTTTCCTAACATCCACAAATAAAATCAATTTCTTCAACCACATAAAACTTAGAAAATAAATAATCTTTATTTTTTTTCTAACCATGGAAAATTAGCAAGGCATGCTCCAAATACTCTCTACTTCAATTTGATTTCGTTGAACGTACGCAGAATCTTCACGGAAATCGCACGTTGCGGCAGTTCGTGGACGAAGTTATTTTTGCAGTTGACACAGACGGTGTCTTCGGTTCAGGAATCACCACGAACGTTGATTGAGTCTCCATCGCAATAGCCGCAGCAGTAATTCGTTGTTCAATCGCCGAAGCTGTCGCTGCAATCGTATGGGAACCGTTCGACGAAGAAGTCGTCTCTGGCCAACTGCTTAATATACGTACAAAGCTCATAACATAAAAGGAAAAGAAAGGAAAATTGAAATCAGACTTGGGTTTTATTAAATAATAATTAATACATTTCATGTGGGCTCACTAAACAAAGCATTAACTAAGTCCACCTCTCATTCACTTATTAAGCTTAATTATTAAATAATTAACATATTAGTGCAAAAATATAAATTAAAGTTTAAAATAAGTATGATATTAAATAAATAAAACTAATTTATTATAAAAACTAATCTAAATTAAAGATATAAATTGTACTTATCAAAATTCCCCACACTAATCATTTGCTTGTCCTCAAGCAAAAACATTATTCAAGAAAACATAAAAATTCATAACACTTCATGAACATCGGTCTCAAACACATTATAAATAGTTAGTTAGCAGTTTATTTGAAAATAGAGTGAACTAAGTAACCAAGCTCTCACGGGAATATCACTCATAACGCACAAGTGTTTGAAGGGTGTGTGTATTTCACTCAAATCAATACCTATAGAAATGCTCTACCATAAGCTTGCATATCTTCTCATTCTCCACTACAAGATAACATGCATGATCAAATCATAAGGACTTTTTAAATGGTTGTAATGGGGCTAAGGTAAAGGGTAGGAATTATTTTGGAAAGTAGTTCAAAAAAACCTTAAAAACTTAGAGGAGCATGATTGAATGAACTAACTCAAAATAAAGACCAAATGAACCCAATCACTCTTATTTTGATAGTTTAACTCCAACCAAACTAACTATCACATCCCATAAGAAACTATTCATAGTTTAGTAAAAATAATAACAAAAATAATAATAATCCTTTTTCCTTTCTTCTGTTCTGTTTCGTATTCTTTTTCTGTCATCCTTCTTTTCGTATTTTTTCTTTTTTTTTTCCTTTTCATTTTCTTTTGATTCTTTTTCATTTTTGAAGAATCATTATATATGCTTTCTTCATGATTTCTGCTTCACCAACGTACAATTTCTTCATCATCCACTCCTCAATTTCTTTCTTATTTTTTTTTTCTTTTTGAAAATACCAACCAAAAAGCTCATAGAATTCCAATGACAAATTCATTATTCTCACTCAACACTTTGTCAACATTTTTCCCACACTCAAATCTTTATGCATTTACCCAATCAAAGCTCCCCTAGTCCTTTAGGCAAGGTTAAGGAAATCAATTTCAGGTATGAGGCTTATAATGTGGTTTCATAACAACAAAATAAAATACCGTTAAAAAGGCTCAAAATGGCTACAAAGGATAAATCAATCTTGGTATGAATAGGCTATTTGGCTAGTGAGGCTAAAAATCAAAGATGGCCTTAATCATATTAAAGTCATGCATGTATCAAATTAGCTTTAAAGAGAATCAAGGCAAGTTCTAGAGACACAAATCCATGGAAGATATCACACAAGAACAAAATAATTGGACTGAAGTGTCAGTTAGAGGCTCAAAAATCTCACAGGTTCATGCTTGCTTAGTTTAGCTACCACCATATCAAACAAAATACTAAACTAAATAATCATAATATGCAAGACCAATTATTCAATTATGTTATAAATTCTAGTAAAAATACTATATTTTTTGAAAAAATTTATTAGTAATTTTTAGTAAAAATATTATATTATATTTTTTTAAAGGGAAGAATTAAATAATGAATAATAGTTAAATCCCCTCCACCTCTTTCTACTTTTACTGAGTAGAGTTACAAAGTGTTGAAGATAAATGTTCTTCAATCCCCAACTAGAAATCTTTGCTCTTGATCTTGATCTTCACAATTTGAGCAGCACAAGCTTCTAAAAATCTCGATATAACTTTGTAGCTTTGGATCTCTCTCACTAGTCATGAGTTGTAAAGCTTTTGAACACTTAATAAAATTCTTAGAATGACCAGCTCCTTCTTCAGTCTTGGAAGAGGGTATTTATAGGCATTTTAGAAATGTGTCCGTTGGAGGGAACCCATTTCAAACGTCTATTGACCAACGTGTAGAGACTAACGTGTAATCTAGAGGTTAGGTAGACTTGTTAGACTTTCCAGCCATTAGACCACTTAATTTGGGTTGAACATATCTTTTTGTTCAGGACAAAATGTATAGGCTTTTTAAGAAAAATCCTCCTTGGGATGTTAACCTAAGACTCTCTTTACCTTGGTCACATCATAAAGAACAAGTGTTTTAAGATTCCAAACTGTTGACTCAGAGAATGTCTCAAGCAGTTC